GGAGAACAGATGGTAGCCAAAAATTATAGAGCACTAGCTCTTGTTCTAAGTGGCCTATAACTTAATACTAATTTATTCTTTGTAACCACCCATGGGACAGATTCTAATATTATCACCATTTTACAACCCTACTGTTGGTAGTGGTAAAAACTTTGTAAGTGTGACTGCTGTGGGCTTACCAAGAACTCATCGGTCACCCCTTTCTATTCAATTACTTCACTCAAGCGTAAATAAATCCATATAGTCTTTTATTTTCAATGAAAATGCTCCTGAAAATACTTACCATAGTTAATTTGAAATATCTTTATTAAGTGTATATATAGGTAAAGAAGTTATGGTTCATTATATGACAATTTGATTATATTTCTTAATTTGATAACTAAACAAGATAATAGGAGTCCAACATCAAATGTATTTTGGTGTAGTTAATTTAGACCAGTTAGTCTAGCTCAAGGGCTATTTCTTGGTTAATAAAAATAAAGGTTTCTAGCTCCCACTTTGGACTACTGAACCCAAATTTCCTGGGAAAATATAGTTTTAATAAGCACTCTCAGGTATTCTCATGCATACTGAAGTTTAGGAACCTCTAAACTACTGTAGGGGCTCCTGGGTGGCTCAGTCAGTGAAGGGTCTGACTTCAGCTCAGGTCATGATCTCACGATTCGTGGGTTCGAGCCCCGCATCAGGCTCTGTGCAGACAGCTCAGAGCCTGGAGCCTGCTTCAGAGTCTGCGTGTGTGTGTGTCTCTCTCTCTCTGTTCCAACCCCTGGTCATGCTCTGTCTCTGTCTCTCAAAAACAAAGAAACATTAAAAAGTTAAAAAATAAATAAGTAAACTAATATAAACGCTGTGAAATCTCTACTTGCCTATGAACAGACATAATTAATGTCTGATATTTACAACTGTAAGACATTTAAAAGCTTGGACGTGATTTAAGAAATGGATAAATATGTTTTTGTTTCTTGTATGCTAATATAGGCTTAAAAGCTTTATTTGAAATAAATGATGCAATACAGGGGAAAAAACTCTACAAAGTTGTGCAGATCTTTAAATCATACCATCGATTAATTGAAACGCTTGGGGGTTACTCTTCCTAATAGAATAATCTGAAAAGCAGAACAGATTTTACTGGCTTTGGATAAATCATTTCAGGATAAGCTCTTTTCCCTCATGAACTACTTTCTTCCTGCACCAGGAAAGGAATGAATTTTTAGGTCTTGCAGTTCTTGGTGAGCTCTCCTTTCTCATAAATATTTAGATTAGAAGACAAAAGCCAAGATCATTCTTTTAAACAGTTTAATGAATTTTTGTAAATGTATGAACATAGTTGGGACAGCCTGCCACTGAACAGATTCTTGGTTTTAATATTCTATTCTTTTCCCTTCCAAAATTCTCTTCCACATTTCATGAAGTAATATATTTCTCTTAGTAAGCCTAAGTTGAAATTAATTACTGTAGTCACTTTTACCACAAAATTTAATTATTGATACTCTTCTTTTTCTGTTGCCTGTGTCTTTATCTTCTTCCACATCACCTACAGGGCACATGCTCTATCTGGTGCGTTGATTTTTTTTTTCTTTTAATGTTTATTTATTTTTGAGAAAGACACACACACACACACACACACACACACACAGAGCACAGGCGGGGGAGGCGCAGAGATAGAGAGGGAGACACAGAATCCAAAGCAGTTTCCAGGCTCTGAGCTGTCAGCACAGAGACCAATGTAGGGCTTGAACTCATGAACCACGAGATCATGACCTAAGCTGAAGTCAAACATTAAGGGACTGAGCTACCCAGGTGTCTCTGCATCTGGTACCATTAAATTAATATCTCTACCATCACTGCAATGGGTTTTTGGTACACTGTATGTGTTGGCCACCTCCTTAAATATCTCATTTCCTAGTTGAGGTGTTTACACATAAAAATGTCAGAAATTGCCAAGTTTAATTTTTTTTAATGTTTTTTATCTTTGAGACAGAGAGTGAATGGGGAAGGGGCAGAGAGAGAGGGAGATACAGAACGCGAAGCAGGCTCCAGGCTCCCAGCTGTCAGCACAGGGCCTGACTCCAGGCTTGAACTCACAGACCATGAGATCATGACCTAAGCCAAAGATGGATGCCTAACCGACTGAGCCACCCAGGCGCCCCAGGAATTGCCAACTTTTAGACTGGTTTAGAACTAGAATACAGTAAATCTAAGTTTCCATGGTATTATCTGCAACTCACTGACATGACTCATAATTAAAAAAGAAAAACAAAGGGAAAATGCAAATAATTTCATCTAACCCTATCAGTCAAGAGACACATATTGTTCTCTCCTAAGATGTGCTTCAACAACAAAAAATTAGGTTTTTTGCTGTTTATAGAAACCAAACATTAACAGTTTGAATTTGCCTTTTTGATTGTTATGTCTTCTTGACTGATTGACCTTTTTCTCATTATGTAATATCACTTTTTATCTCTGGTAGTACTTTCTGCTCTGGACTTTACTGTATCTTATACTAATGTAGCCACACTAGCTTTCTTTTGGTTAATGTTTGCATGGTATATATTTATTCTATCCTTTTACTTTTTTTTTTCTTTTCATGGCTTGATAACTCATTCTCCCTTCCCCAGCCTTCTTAAGATATAATTAATTTAAAAATTGTTTATATTTAAGGTATACAACTTGATTATTCAATATTTTCATATATTGTAAAATAATCATGACAAGGTACTCAACATAACCTGTTTGGGTTACCTTTTTCTTTCGTGTGTGTGTTGAGAAAAATGTAAGATCTACGCCTTTAGCAAATTTCAATTACCCAATACAATATTGCTAACTCTAGTCACATTGTTACAGAGTAGATTTCCAGGACTTGATTCATCTTGTATAAATGAAACTTTGTACCACTTGACCAACATCTCCCCATTTTCCCCTCCTCCCATTCTTTTAACCAACCTCTATCATTGTAGTTGAAGTATCGTGCAGATAGGATAAATTTCTGTCAGTTAAAAAAAAAGCCATTCTCTGTCCTTTAGTTGATGTGTTTTGACCACTAATGTAATTATTGATACATCTCGTTTATCATTTATTTTTTATGATCTGATTGTTTTCTTTGTTTTTCATTCCAATTCCCCTTTATTCTGCCTTCTTTTGACTATATTATGCTATTGGCTTGGGTTTTTTTTTTTGTTTGTTTGTTTACTTTTTCATTAAATTTTTTTTTTATTAGTGGGTGCTCTCAAGATTATAGAACATATACTTTTCATCATTACTGAGAATCACTTTTATACTTTAGTTGGAATGTAGAACCTCACTGTCTTATAGATTGCTTAATCTCTCTGCTTTATGGTATGGTTGTGTTATGTATAGCATCTCCGTCCACTGAAAACACTAACTTAGAATTCATATGTTTCTACATCCAACAGTCTAACATATTTTAAAGAATTCAAAAGGAGAAAATTACACTATGATATTTACCCAAATATATGCCAATTTTAAACTCTCCTTTCTGATATTGCAAGTTTCCTTCTGGCATCATTTGCCTTCTTTCTGAAGAACTTCCCTTAGCAATCCTTTTGCGTCAGGTCTGCTTGCTAAATATTTTCTTAGTTTTTCTAAATCTGAAAATGTCTTGGGGCACCTGGGTGGCTCAGTCGGTTAAGTGTTGAACTTCAGCTCGGGTCATGATCTCACGGTTCATGGATTCGAGCCCCACATTGGGCTCTGAGTCTGGAGCCTGCTTCAGATTCTTCGTCTCCCTCTGTCCCTGCTTTTCTCTCTCTCTCTCTTAAAATAAATAAATAGACTTTAAAAAATTTGAAAACATCTTTATTTCACTTTTATTCCTGAAGGATATTTTTGCTAGTTATAGAAGTGTGGACTCATCATTCTGTTCTTTCATCACATAAACAACCCACCTCTCTGTCCTCCGTGGTTTCTGATGACAAATGTGGACTTGTTCAAATCATAGCTCCTCTCGAGGTCATTTGTTGCTTTCTTCTTCTTCTTCTTCTTCTTCTTCTTCTTCTTCTTCTTCTTCTTCTTCTTCTTCTTCTTCTTCTAGCTGCTTTCAAGATTTTATTTTCTTTAGTGCTCAGTAGTCTGATTAGGTTGTGTCTGGTACGGATTTCTTTAAGTTTATCCTCTTGGGAGTACACTGAATTTCCTCAGGATGTAGTTTCTTTTACCGAACTTGGAAAGTTTTAAGCATCCTAGTCATCTTTTCGTGGACTCTGTGATATCAATGCTAGACTTTTCCTTGAGACTCTGTTATTTCCTCCTCCATCTTCTCTTCCACCTCCTCCTCCTTTTCCTCCTCCTCCTCCTTCTAATATTTTTTCTCTCTGTTGTTCAGATGAATTTTTACTGTTCTGTCCCCAAGTCCACACATTCTATATTCTGCTACTGAGCCCATCCAATGAATTTTTAAACCTTAGCTACTGGATTTTTTTGTTCTGAAATTACCATTTAGTTCTTCATATTTTCTATTTCCCTCTTTTTTTTCTGTTTCAGTCTTCTTGTGAATTTCAAGTAGTGTTTGCCCTTACTTTTTGGGTCATTTTCATAATAGCTGCTTTAGAAGCTGTCAGGTAATTCCAACATCTCTGGTGCTTAACGATTCTGTTTATCTTTCGAGTTAAGACTCCTTGGTTTTTGTATGCTGGGTGCTTTTGCATTGTATCCTGAACTTTGAGAATTATGTTATGTGGTTTTGGGTGTGGTTTAAGTGCATGGAGAATTCTGAGATTTTTGTTTCAGCAGGAGACCAACCAGGTTCAATTTAAACCACAAACCTCAGTCAGACCGCTGCTTGTGGTTTTTAACGTGAGTTGCATTCCCAGAGTCTTTGCAGTCAGGTTTGGATCTGAGCCACATGCACCCCCACCCCCACCTGCCAATCGGGAAACGGAATAGCTGCCTAGCCTGTATTCAGCTCTCAAGCTCTGTGTATACTGTTTAGAGTTGGATCCATGCATTAATATATATAATATATTATATATATTAATATATATGTATATATGGAGTGCTTCACAAATTTGCGTGCCATCCTACATAAGGCCTTGCTAATCTTCTCTGTATAGTTCCAATTTTAATATACGTGCAGCCAAAGCGAGCCCACAGATCTCACTGGTACTTTCTGGTTCCCTGGGGCAATGCTTGGAGTTCTCTGGTCAGAAAATGGGCTTTATTTACTTTGTTCTTTGTGCACTTCTACAAATGGGCTCATAGCCACTGTAGACCCTGGGGAGGACAAAGACAGAGGTAAAGCAGTGGGGATTCACCGCATCTTCCTGGTATCCCATCCCTCTAATCAGAAGGAAGATTCCCCATCCTCAGAATGTCAGGCTCCTGCCGGGTCCCGTGGCTGCTATTAGCCCGCCCCTGCTGCAGCCACCTACGGGTCACTTGGGAGCAACATCAGAGAGCAGAGAAGAGAAGCAGAGAGAAAGCAGAAGAGAAAAATCCTTGGGGTATTTTCCCCACTGTCTTTCAGCATGCAGAGCCCTTGCTTTCTTGGCTGGAGAGATCTCTGTCTGTCCATGTAAGCTACTTACGTATTTTGGGCTAGGTTTAGTCCAGAGTGGAGTAAATGGGGGGGGAGGGGGGAGACCCTGGTAAACTCATGGCTAGTTAGGCAGTACTTTGAATTTTGGTCTTGTTCCCCAATCTGTTTGATACTGTTTACTCTCCATATACCTGAAATAGCTCTTTATGCATCTCGCCCAGATTCTAGAGCTGCATTCAGTGGGGGGCAGAGAGTGGAGCATACTTTCTCCATCTCCCCCAGAACTGGAGCTGATCCATGCAATGAAAGGTAATGAGACAAAAACGATTTTACCACAAACACTCAGCAAAATATATAGCACGCGCAAGACGCTGGCTGCGTGAAGCCAACACACTGAGTAAACGGGAGTTCATTTCAGAGCTGACAGACCTCAGCTGATCCTTGCCGTGATCAGTGACTTTGTATTCAGCCGTCTGCACTTATTAGCTACCTCTGAAAATATTTTCAGTCTGGCGATGTGGCAAATGTAGGTTGTACAATATCAACAGAGGCAAGTTATCACCTTTTTAATTTTTGTCCTTTAAGCACTAACTTACATTGAGAGAACTGCTGATTAAGACATTTTTTAAAAAGCCTAATCAGGGCATTTCTAAACTTTTACATGCAAAGGCACACTCAAATCTATAGAGTTCCATGCGCACTCTGTTGAAATGGTCAGCAGTTAATGTTTATTTTTGACAGAGAGAGAGAAAGCATAAGCAGGGGAGGGGCAGAGAGAGACACACACAGAATCCAAAGCAGCCTCCAGGCTCTGAGTTAGCTGTCAACACAGAGCCTAATGTGGGGCTCGAACCCACGAACCGTGAGGTCATCAGCTGAGCCGAAGTAGGATGCTCAACTGACTGAGCCCCCAGGTGCCCCTAAATGGTCAGCAGTTAGAACACGGTTTTGGGGATTAATTACTGACATATCATCAATGGAGATGAACCAGCCTTGGGTACAATATACATTTCTGAAAACTTGTGAATAAAATAAATTTTGAAAGGGGAATTAACTGGAACTCTAAAACAAATCATTTAGCAAAACAAATCATTGCCCCCTTCCCCAATATTTGCTATTACATGTGTGATTTTTGAATAAATTGGGTTTATATATTTTTACTTAAACTTCCTTACCCCATTTGTGAGTTGGCTTTTCTGATTCATAAGTCAGCCTAGGGCAACATGGAGGGTTTGTCCATTTTATGCACATGACTTTCTGGGCCATATTATGCTTTTGGCAATTACTATGCAGTAGAACACCATACTTAATTAGCAGATTTTGCAGTTATTAGATGGTAATCACATTTGATTAAAAAAGTCATTTATTTCATTCAAGGCTGAGGGTGCTGTCTTGAGGAGAGAAACCCTCGTTTTGGCCCAGAGGACCAGGGAGGGTCTTACACCCAAAGTGGGGCTCACTCTGCAGATCAGTCATGGATTTCTCTGAATGACCTTGGAGTAGTCACTTTGCTTCCCATTTGCTTCCTCTCTTCTAAGCTCCAGAGATGTGCAAAGCCCAGTGTTTTCAGTAATGACAGGAAAATGTGCAAAGTTCTTCTAAATGCTTTTTTTTAAAGTTTATTTATTTATTTTGAGAGAGAGAGAGAGAACGAGCGAGCGTGGGAGTGGCAGAGAGATACAGAGGGGACAGAGGATCTGAAGCAGGCCCTATGCTGACTGTAGAGAGCCTGATGTGGGGATCTAACTCACAAACCACGAGATCATGACCTGAGCCGAAGTTGGACGCTCAAGCAACTAAGCCACCCAGGTGCCCCGTTCTAAATGCTTTTAATGAACAGATATATCTGTTAGCCAAATTCTGAGCGGTAGGCAAGTTGTTACTACTGTTCCTTTTTTTTTTTTTTTTTTTTACAAATTAATAAACTCAGTGACATTAGGAGAGGCTCAGTAACATTAGAATAACGTTTACACAGCCTAAGAGAGAGAGAAACTCAAATGCATTTCTTGTGGATCCAAACATTCTTGGTCTTTCTTCTACAGCTTCCTATCATGAAGACTACTATTAGTTCCTAATAGAATCACAAAGAATTATTTTCTGTTGAATTCCACCTAACAAAGAGGTCTATTTACTTAATGTAAGGATGGCTATTGCTTAGGATGGCAATTGCCAAGATTTAAATTCAAGTATTTCTCCATGTGTAATACTTTGGAAGTTGATCTTATATTACTCCTGGTGTCTGCAGAGAAAGAATGTTGCATCAACGTTGTGCAGGTGATTATTGGCAACCACAGGCAGGCACTTGTTTTATACAAAGTGCAGCTCAGGGAGATATGGTTCTGCCACCTTTTTAACAGTGTGAATTCATATAGGATATGTTTGAAGTCATTTGTCACGTCTTTATCTAATTTTAGCAGATTGATGCAGGGGCATTAAAAAAAAAGCATTCTTGTTACCTGTCAGATCTTTCTTCTTCTTTCCTTAAAAATGAATACGGGGGCGCCTGAGTGGCTCAGTCAGTTGAGTGTCTGACTCTGGCTCACCTTTGTGGGTGATCCCACAGTTTCATGGGTTTCAGCTCTGCGCCGGGCTTTGTGCAGTCAGCTCAGAGCCTGGACCCTGCTTTGGATTCTGTGTCTCCATCTCTTTCTGCCCCTCCCTCACTCATACTCTGTCTCTCTCAAAATAAATAAACATTGAAAGCAGCTGCTTAAAGTTTACCATTTGATATCTCGTTAAAAAAAAATGAGGGGTGCCTAGGAGGCTCAGTCGGTTGAGCATATGACTTCAGCTAAAGTCATGATCCCATGGTTCATGGGTTCAAGCCCCACATTGGGCTCTGTGTTGACAGCTTAGAGCCTGGAGCCTGTTTCGGATTCTGTGTCTCCCTCTCTATCTCTGCTCCTCTGCCATCCTGCTCTGTCTGTCTGTCTGTCTCTCTCTGAAAAATAAATAAACGTTAAAATTTTCTTTCAAAACATTTTAAAAACTAAAAAAAATGAATACCTACACGACAAATTCCGTTTGTCAACCCAGTTGCTATGGGTTACACAGCCAAGGCTTTCACTCGTGGCACTTTCAGATGGAATCCCATTACACTTTATGAGGTTATCACTGCCCTCTGAAATCTCCATTAGTTATGGGCATGTTCATCTTAACATTCTTTAGTTGGGAGACAGCCAAAACACATGGGTTCTGACGTGCAGCTGCCCACCACAATGTCTCCAGTATAATTCCGTAAAAAGCACGGTGCTTTTTTGAGGGTGCCTAATTCTTCCCTCAATTTTTTCAGCAACACATTTTGTCTCCCAAAGTTATGCAAGTGAATGGAGTTGCAAAGAGACAGTTCCCTTAGTAATCACAGGCTGGCAGACCATCCTGGAAGGAGCACATTCACCCCGGAGTCGTGACAAGCGGTTCAATCGTCATAATCAAATCGGTCTTCAGAGTCTGATCCTTATCATCTGATTATCATTAATCCTAAATGGTGTGACTAGAAACTGAGGAGTGGCTACACAGAGACCATTACCTTAATGATATATGATTAATGTAAAATTCTCAGGAAACGAAATTCTCTGAAATCAATAATATCTTTGAATTTGTTTTGTTTAAGCAAAGATGTACACAGATGATATATATTTATGTACAACCCACAATATGTCCGGTTCTTCATGAGCACATGGAGGATTGACCTGCATTTAAACAGTCCATTATGGGGGTGCCTGGGTGCTCTATCAGTTAAGCAGCCAACTCTCAGGTCAAGATCTCATGGTTCTTGGGTTTGAGCCCCATGTCGGGCTTCTTGCTGTCAGCATGGAGTCTGCTTGGGATTCTCTCTCCCTCTCTCTCTCTCTCTCTTTTGCTCTTGCTCTCACTCTTGCTCCGTCTCTCTGCCCCTCCCCCACTCTCTCTCTCTCTCAAAAATAAATAAAAACTTAAAAAAAAAAATAAACAGTCCATTATGGACCATTCAGTTGGTTCTCCCTCTACCTTCAATGGTAAATTATCACACTGACTTTTTTCCCTCACAGGATCTAGATTATGCAAGGACAGAAAGAAATTTAGGGACCTGAGCAAAGTGATAAATAATGACAGAGTAGGGAAAGGATAATGTTACAGCAGCATAAGGGAGGGCATTTAATCCAGATGTTAGGAGTAAAAAACAGCTCCCCCCAAAATTTGGTGTTTAGGTCTTCATAAGGTCTTCCAACAATGAATAGTCTCTACCCATCCCCTTTAAAATCTACAGATTTTCAGGAGCCGGTGGGGAGTGACAAAAGAGGTCAAGCACACAAAGTTTCAAGTGCCAGCTCATTACATGGGAGCTGTACAGAATTGGACCAATTACCTAGCTCTGAGCCTTAACTTCCTCATCTGTACAGACAGGAATAATACTACCTAGGTCATGAGGGCTATTCTGAAGATTAATAAACTAATATATTTTCAGCATGTGGAACAGAGAACACATTAAATAAATGGTAATTCCTTTCATTCTGATAATACCTGCCACCACCAATCACAGGTTCTTATAACACCAAACCCGATTTCTATCTAATTAAGGTAGCCCCTAAAACCTGGGATATATGACCAGATTGAATGGATTTGGTTTGGGC